GCTGAGTACTAAGACACCCATCTTTAGAGTGAAATTTTAGGCCAGAGAAGAAACCACAGGGAGTTATAAATTGAGTATTACCAGAAGGCATGGAAAAGTCAGAACAAATTTTGTTTGGAATAAATCCATGCATACATGAACTGGAACGCTAGTAGCAGTACTTTTTGACTTGCCTTCATACAAGCTCACAATGTTTTAAGAGCAGCTCATTCCAAGCCAGATGTTCCAAGAGATTATAATAACAAGAGCTCTGCATGGTTTCGTGTGAAATTCTGAAGACCAGTGGCAGACTAGACTACTTAACAACTTACCAGTTACTGGCCAAACTCTCTAACCTCTCTGCTTCATGACTAACACTAACCTCCAAATCCTTGTAAGTCACCTTTTGAGAAACTCCTTAGACTGTCAAGGTAATGCTCTCCATTGTTGTTTAGTGCTGTCAAATCGGTTTCTAAGGAGAGACTGGTGGGTTTGAACCGCTGACCTTTGTTAGCAGTCCAGTGCTTATCCTCCAGCACCCACTAGGAATTCATGCTCTCCATTATTGGTAATAAACCTACCTTCATATAATGAACAGGTTTCCCTAGTAATCTTTTTGAGTTTGAGTCATGGATACTCCAGTTTAGCAGGCACCCCTAAGAGTCACAGCCCAGGATCACTTACTAACAACTGAGGCTCCTGGAGCTTCCCTGCGTAGGGGTTCCTTATCAGCAATGAGGAGTTAAATTCAACTCTAAATCTGAGTTCCAACCCCTCTTTGTTGAACTCCCAAATCTACCTGAGTTCTGTTCTAAGAATATCAAGACTCCCCCCAAAACACTTTAGTTTCAGATTTATGAATTTTAATTTTCCTTGATAAATGTATTAGTTATCCATTGTGGGTACTAAGTTACTCTAAAACATAATCTTATAATCTCTGAGGGTAAAGAATCTCAGTGGTCTGAGTTCTTGCTTAACATCTCTCAAGAGGTTGAGGTAGGTGAAGATGTTGGCTGGAGAAGTAGCCTCATCTGAAAGCTTGACTGACAGGAGTAGCCATTTCCAAGCTCACTCATATGGTTGTTTTTTGCTGACTGTTGGATGAAGACTTCCGTTTCTCAGGCACAGCGGCCTCTCCATGGGCTGCCCAAGTGTCCTCAGAACATGGCAGCTACCTTCTCCCAGAGCAGGTGATCCAAGTGGGAGAGTACAAAGTTAAGCTACAGGCCTCTTATAACATAATCTTAACAGTGACCTACCACTGATTTTGCTGTATGCTAGTGTGGCGCTATGGGATACAGCACTGGAGATTGAACCACAAGGTTAGTGGTTCAAACCCACCAGCCACTCCTTGGAAACCCTACACAGGGTCACTATGAATTGGAACTGACTGGACTGCACTTAACAATAACAATGAAACAGAGTAACTTTTATACAATGTGGTTGTAACCACCAATAGCTGGGGAACCAAATTAGAGGCCCATTTACAGGTAGGCTACTCCACGGCACATAACCACCACCACACTATAGTGAAAGTCTTGTCAAAGCACGGATTTGCCACCAATCCTGCTTGCCTTTCTATTGCTTATAGGGTTGTCTGTAAGAACTTAATAGGGTTCCTTCTAATCATCATGCAACTCGAAACTCTACACCAAGGTGTAATGGGGAGCTTCAAAAAGTTTGTAGAAAATTGAAATTAAAAGATAATCCAATTTTTCCACAAACTTTAAAAGATTCCTTCATGTAATATGCTGGGAATGTAATAGACATTCTTTAATTAAGTCTGATCAACAGACAGTATTGTCCAGTTATTACATGAATAGTAACGGTTAAGCAATACATTTTGTCACACACCTAGTAAAATATTAAGTCTAGGCTTCCCCAAGCTTATAATTTGTCAAAGCCTATGATTGTTCCATAAGGAGCTCTGGTAGCGTAGTGGTTACGAATCGGGCTGCGAACCTTAAGGTCAGCAGTTCAAAACTACCAGCTGCTCCACGGGAGAAAGATGAGGCTTTCTACTCCCGTAAAGATTTACACCCTCGGATACCCTGTACAGGGTCGCTATGGGTCGGAACAGACTCGACGGCACTTAACAACAACAACAACGATTGTTCCATAGTTCCCTACTTCTTGTGAACTGACTCTAATTGACCTTTCCAGCATTTAATCCTACTAACCTCTCATATGCCTACCTCACACTACCCTCATACCCACTCTCCTTCATCCAGTATCAATTTTAAGGTCTGTGAGTTCCTAGTGTTGTTCCCACTGTTGAAATGTATTACCTGCAGTGCTTTGAAATTTGTTGAGCCAGTATGGCTTAACATATGGCAAATTTCATAAATATTCCATGTGTGCTTGAAACAAATATTTTCATGATGGGTGTATCAATTCAATATATCAAGCCTGTTGATTTTGCTCTTCAATCTATCTTTACTGAATTTTGTGTGTCTATTTGATCTGACAATTTACTGAGGTACAGTAAAAATCTACACTATAAAGAAGGCTGTTATATAGATTTCACCTTTCAGGTAAAGTGAATCTCTCACTATTCTAATGAGTCTAGAGAAACCCGAGGAGAGAAAGGGGTGGAAGAACAATAGGAAGTCAATTACAGATGTGAAGTTACATTTAGGTGTATACCTAAGCCTTCTCCCCTTCCTTGCAAAGGAAAGATAGCCTTTCTAAGGTCAGTGGTTCAAATTCACCAGCCGCTCCTCGTAAACCCTATGCAAGCTCGTGATGAGTCGGCATCAATTTAACAAAATGGTATATAACCTGGATTTAAAAACAAAAATAAACAATTGCCATGGAACCAATTCTGACTCACAGCAACCCCCGGGGACACAGCTGAAGTGGCCCACAGGGTTTCCAAGGCTGCCGTCTTTGTGGATGCAGACTGCTACCTCTTTCCCCCCTACAGTGGCTGATGCATCCAAACTGTCGATTTCAGTCAGCAGCTGCACCTGTAACTACTGTGCCACTCGGGCTCTTGTGTGTCTCTGTAAAATAAGTGTTCAATTACCAGGTCAGTTTGAACTGCAAAGTCAGTGGTTCAAACTCAGCAGCAGCTCCTCGGTAATTCTTTACAGGATCACTATAGGTCAGAATGGGCTCTACAGCACTAAGAACAGTAACAACAGCGCTCCTGAACCCTGGACAATGCTTCTAAACTCTCGGGTGGATTCTTTCCACCACACCAGGGAGAAGACAGACGGGTTTCTTTGTTGTCCCTCTCTGTGAGGGAGTATGCGTTTTAATTACCCTCCCACTGAAGGTATTGCCCACTGGAATCCCCACTTCACATGGAAAATTTCTATTAGAAATACCAACTGGCTGTTTTTCTTCCATGCCCAGTACCGAGCAGGTGCTAAAGCAGGCTTCCAGAATTCCTGGTTTCATGTTACTTTATGGTTCTGGAAAACCTTGGTTATGTGTTTGGGAAGTGGGTTAGGGCAGGGGGTGTACTCAGCAGTACATTAAGCAAAAAGTTTTAAAAGTATTCATCTAATATTTTAACTGAATCACCCGAGCGTTACATTCAGACACTTTTCATATTGCGTCGATTGTTTTACTTCCCAAACATCTCTTACAACTCAACTCAAATATAACTGCTTCCATCAAACTGTTCAATGACCCCATCGTGCCCTCAGTCAATGGAAATGGTTAATATCCTCATGTTTCCCACTACATTATTCTAACCCTTTATAGCCACCATTATACCATGGCTTATTTTTTAAAACAACTACACTTGTAGTTTTCTCTCTCCAATACAAAAGCAACTCAACAAATCATCTTTGTGTTCGGTATCTTTGGACTCCCATCCTCATCCCACCACAATTCCACCTCCTGCCTCCAGCAAGAGCAGCAAAATACCTGTTTACTTATGGCACAATTATTGCAGTCTAGATGGTTCACTCACTGTTCATTGGTCTAAGAATTCTCTTTTAGAATTTATATCTAGAAATTGTGACCATAAAACTACTCAACCCTACAGTACTGGGCTAAATGACGAGGACCTTGTTCACAGGAACAAGGGGCTGCCATGTGGGGATGGCACCGGACCAGGCACTGTTTCGTTATGTTGTGCACACAGTCGTCATGAGTGGGTGCCGACTAGACAGCACCTAACAAGTATCTTAAGTAGGCTCAAGAAGAAAAGAGTTCTTCCAAAAGGACCCTGGAAAGGCCTATCTCTCTCCAAGGCTCTTTCTGAGTCTGAGATTTTTGTAAGTTCCAAATAACATGTCCGCATTGATTGAACCTGACTGTCATTACATAGACTGAATTAATAATTTATTATATTTGAATAATTTTAAAGTTTTAAATTACTTAGATTTCATACATATAGTAGTATTGAAAATCCTTTTAAGAGCAACATGAAAAAGAAATTCAAGCATTTTTCTCTTACATGAAGACATTTTACTCTGTCTGGAGCTTCTAAGAGAAGAATGACTTCAAGGTTGTTATCATCAGGAAATGTTTCAGAGGCTAACACTTGAGTTGGGCTTTGACAGTGAGTTATATACAACGTGTGTAACTTCCTACCAATGCCACCTAGTCCCCTGCAGTCAGTCAATCCAGTGCATCTCCACAGAGAGCACCCACATTCGAATACTAGCCTGACCCTCAGGAAGAAAGAGACCTTACAGTCAAGCTTTATAACAGATAAAATACTGTCACAGAAACAAAGCAAGGAGAGAACAACATTAGCAACTAGAAAAGTTAGCTTCAACTATGTGGTAAAAAAGCTGAATTCCTAAATTTAAAAGAGTGTTCTGACTTCCGAGAGTCAGTCCTAGCTCCCCTCACACCGAGGTTCCGAGCTGAGACGTCATGAAAGCAGTGAAGCTGCTTCTGGGAGTCAGTCAGCACTCCTGAGGAAGACATCCTGCTGCTTCCCTGTATTCCTTGTCTACCGTCTTGGAGCCACCACAACACAGCTGGGTTAGAGACTCCTTCTCTCAGAAGGAATCGTGAGTATGACAAGGAAAACGGAAAAGCAGCAGGATCTAACCTCAGCAACCTTTCTGAGTGATAGCCAGTCCCGATGACTTTGTGATCTCCAAGCTGGTGAATATCTGTTCAAAAGGAAAAGCAGAACAAACATTTAGACATCAGCATTGCCTAAAGAAAAACATTCTGTACATTGCATTATATTATTCTAGAAAAAAAGATGAAAACATATATACCCATATAGGTCTAAACAAAGCAATAACGAATGCAATTGCTGGCAATGTGCTTTATAATTGTTTGTTAAACTATCTCAATAAAAACAAACAAACAAAAAATTCCTGTTTCTATACCTCCCCACATGTAGGATGAATTCCAATGGTGTCATCGAGTAGCTGTTTTGTAAGACCACATTTCATGGCAGCTGCAAATCCTTGGGTAACTTCACCAGCATTTGGTCCAAGAATATGAAACCCTACTACCCGGTCCTTTAATACGGGAACAAAATAAAGAGAATTTCCATAGATCAGTAGTCTGAACAAGAACCTATTCATTATGAGTTCACAGTTTAAAATTTACAGCATCTTTTACAGCATCTGCTACAGAGAAAGAACTCTAGTGTTGAAGTGAGCAGAGATTATTACTATGAGCAACTGTAAGAACCTGCTAAATGAGCCAGTAAACACACATCCAGAGTTAATTTGCACACAAATTTACGAGAACAAGCAATTTACCAACTGTATGAAGGACTTCATTAGTATGATGTAAATTTTTTAATTATGCTGAAGTAGTGCCAAACAACAACATAACAAATCTAAATTAAAGTCCAACACTGGAATAATTCTAAAACAGCAGATTTTACAGGCAATGCGATTACTGGCAGGGAAGCCAGCAGCCAGGACTACAGGTGGGGGATGGAGAAGTGTACTGTGTCTTCATAAGAGGAACAGACCCATAAAGACAGACAGCTCGATTTGCCCATCATTTTCCAAGGTACGGTTTCATTTTAGGCTGTCTACTTGTCAATCATTTGTTCATTAGACTATATTCATTAGACTATATTGATTGTCAATAGAGTAAGTGCACAATGATGGACTAGATGGAGACCAAGAAAAAGGCCAGCAGAGGTTACAGGACTCTTCAGAACAAGCCGCTCATGTGATCTGTCTGTCCATTAACATTTGAGCAGTACCTGTAGGATAGCACTGGACTATTAACCACAAGGTCTGCAGTTCAAACCCACCAACTGCTCCTTGGAAACCCTATACAGGGTCGCTATGAGTTGGAATCAACTTGCTGGCACTTACCAACAACAACATAAAACAAAAACAACAAGAAACACAAAGTTGCTTTAAAATGTCCCAAAGGGAATAGTAAGAAAAGGATACCAATGCCCAGTAAGAAAAATTTTAACTCTACTTAAGTATCACTTTCTTAAATATCACTTTAACTACTAAAAAGATGCTTTAAGTTACTGCAATCATTCTAATTCTCATACCCATTCATTCAGAGAGGAATTTGTACTTAAAACCAATGAGAGACAGACCAGATCGTAGTTAAATAAAAATTAATGAATTTACATTGTAATGAAATGATGAGTGTAAACCAATGTTCTCCCATGTAAACTGTCACTCAGTTCACAATAAAAACTTAAAAAAATTAAAAATAAGAAATAAAAGGAGAAGAAAATAAACCAAATACGGTATTTAAAGTAATATTTTAAAGAACAAAAGAGCTAGAGACCAAAATTAAAGTTTCCATGAATTTCAGCTTAAAAAAAAAAAAAAAAAATTAATGATTTTTAATGAGGCATCTTTGAAGCAATAATCAATAAAACCTATCTGAAAAACCTATCAAAAGTCCACTGATATATTTATCCATTCAGATTACTGGATGCTACATATACTAAACAAGAAGAAATGAGACAGTAAAAATAGCATTGGTGGTGGTGTGCTGTGGAGTCAGTGTCTGACTCATAGCAACCCTGTATAGGGTTTCCAAAGAGCGGCTGGTGAGCTTGAACCGCAGCCTTTGCGGTTCAAACGACTTCTGCAGTCCAGCACAGTAACCCACAGCGCCACACCAGTACTCCAGAGATAACAATGTTGTTGTTGTTAAGTGCCGTCAAGTCGGTTCCGACCCATAGCGACCCTGTACAGGGTTTCCGAGGCTGTAAATCTTTACGGGAGCAGAAAGCCTCATCTTTCTCCCACGGAGCAGCTGATAGTTTCAAACTGCTGACCTTGTGGTTTGTAACCATTACAATACCAGAGCTCCTTCCAGAAATAACAATAGAGGCAGATAAATTCTTATTTACATAGTAATTGTGCCATCTAGGCAGGAAATTGCTTCTTTTTCTTCCACCTTCCAGTGATGGTATACAGTTGTACGTGCAGTTAAGAAAATTATACAACCAATTCATCATTATCTGTATGGAGTGTATATGCTGCATGGATTGCCCACAATGAGTCACTATCACAACATGAAACAGATCATGCAGACTTTACCTTGAGGTTGGGCAGTGGAACCCACCTCATCCCTACTTCTCCCACCTCAGCTCAATAAGATATGTGGAAGGCAATGTCCCCTTCCTTCATCTCACTGGCTTTCTACCAAATTAAGACACCTGGACAGGGAGGCAGAGAAGACCAGTCAGCCCCAAGGCAGATAAGGGGTGCCAGAAACAAGTCAGAAACCTTTATGCAGATATTTAAGTTTATGTTCCTTCTAACAAGTCTCACCAGAAACCCATGGGCTCCTGGTGCAAAAAGAGAGGAAGCAGAGTGAAAGCTGCATGCTATGTGGTTCTTGTTAAGTGCCATCAAATCAGTTCTGACTCACAGCGACCCTGTGTTGGGTTTCCAAGGAGCAGCTGATGGGTTTGGACCACCGACCTTTCCATTAGCAGTCCAGTGATTATCCTACAGTGCTTTACCAGGACTCCCTGTATGATATAGGGAACTGGAATAAGGGAGGAAGTCAAGAGAATAAGGATATCTGATCAAAATCTCCACTTGTATTTCATTCTATTGTACATGAGTGAGTCAGACCCAACTTGACTGCACCTTAAAACAACAATCTTCCTCTTAAAGCCAATCGACTCATCTTCTTAAATTAGAAATTTATATGGTCTTGAATCTTAAAATACATTGTCCAAATATAAATACTTAGGGATTAATTTTGTCTAGGAAATAATGCAGTATGCTTGACCACTTGAATGTGAAATGAGGGAATTTCCAACATATGAGTAATGACTATGCAGCAATCATAGCATTCCAGCAACAAATGGGTCCAGAAAATAAAATAAAGGCAGGGCTTCTTGTAGTTGTTGTTAGGTGCCATCGCGTTGGTACCGACTCACAACAACCCTACGCACAACAGAACGAAATACTTCCCGATCCTAGGACAACCTCTCAATTGTTGCCACACTTGAGCCCTTTGATGCTGCCATTTTGCCAGTCCATCTTTCTGGGGGTCTTCCTCTCTTTTTTCTGACGTTCAACCTTACCAAACATGATATCCTTCTCCAGCTACTTGGTCCCTCCTGGCAATATGTCCAAAGTATGAGAGATGAACTTTGGCCATCCTGGCCTCCAAGAAGCACTCTGGCTGTACTTCTTTCAAAACAGGGTTGGTTTGGCAGGGTTGGTTCTTTTGGCAGTCCATGGTACTTTCAATAGTCTCCTCCAACACCATAACACAAAATCATCAATTCTTCTACTTCTTCCTTATTCATTACCCAGCTTTTGCATGCATATGAGGTTATTCACCTTAGTCCTCAAGCTGACATCTTTGCTTCAACACTTTAAAAAGGTCTTGTACAGAAGATTTGCCTAATGCAATGTCATCTGATTTCTTGACTGCTGCTTCCGTGAGTGTCCTTGACAGCTTCAATCTTTTCTCCGTTAATAAGAACGTTGCTTATTGGTCCAGTAGTGAGGATTTTTGTTTTTTTACATTGAGATGCAATCCATACCGAAGGCTGTGGTCTTTGATCTTTATCAGTAAGTATTTTAAGTCCTCTTCACTTTCAGCAAGCAAGGTTGTATCATCTGTATATCACAGGTTGTTAATGAGTCTTCCTCCAATCTTGATGCCACATTTTTCTTCATAGAACCCAGCTTCTCAGATTATTTGCTCAGCATACAGGTTGAATAAGTATGGTGAAAGAATACAACCCTGTCACACATCTTTCTTAATTTTAAACTATTCAGTGTTCCCATGTTCTGTTCAAACAACTGCCTTTTGGTCCGTGTACAGATTCCTCATGAGCACAATTAAGTGTTCTGGAATACTCATACTTCACAATGTTGCCCATAGCTTGTCATGATCCACACAATCGAAAGCCTTTGAGTAGTCAATAAAGCACAGGTAAACATCTTTCTGATATTCTCTGCTTTCAGCCAAGATCCATCAGACATCAGCAATGATATCCCTCATTCCACAGCCTCTTCTGAATCCTGCTTGAACCTCTGGAAGTTCTCTGTCAATGTATGCTTGCAGTGTTTCTGTATTAACTTTAGTAAAACGTCACTCGCATGGGATATCAAAGATATTGTCCGATGAGTTCCACATTCCGTTGGGTCACCTCTCTTTGGAATGGGCACAGATATGGATCTCTTCCAATCAGTTGGCTAGATAGTGTCTTCCAAATATCTTGGCAGAGATGATTGAGTACCTTCTCTGCTGTCTCACTTTCTTGAAAGATTTCAATTTTGATTCCATCAATTCCTGGTGCCTTGTTCTATGCCAAGGCAAGGGCTTATAACACCCTAATCCACAATTTTTACCATATAGCTGTAATAAAGCAATATTTCATTTCATAAATGATAGGGCATAAAGCAGTGGACCTCAAGGTCAGTTTGAACCACTAGGTCAAGCTCATTAGTTGCTCCTTGGAAGCCCTATACAGGGTGGCTAGCAGTCAAAACCAACTTAATGGCAACAACAAGGGTGGTACTCAAGAAATAGAAATTTTGATGGGTGCAAAGGGTGTCTGAGTCCTGGTATGACAGATGTGCATAGTGGTTACGAATTGGGCTTCAAACTGCAAGGTCAGCAGTTCAAAACTACCAGCTGTTCTGTGGGAGAAAGATGAGGCTTTCTGCTCCCGTAAAGATTTATAGCCTCGGAAACCCTGTATAGGGTCGCTAAGAGTTGGAACCGACTCCACGGCACACAGCCACCACCACCATGACAGTGTAGGATAAGCACTGTAATGCAAGGTTTGTCTGAACCAAAAGGTCAGCAGTTGAAATTTACCAGCTGTTCCACAGAAACCCTATGCTGTGAGTGAACAGCACTTAATAACAACCAAAGTGTCTTGGTGGGCGGTGAGGATATGAAGAGGGAGTGTCTAAGGATAGAAGCAGATAAACAAACCTAGGCAATCTATTCCAGGGCCTCAACAGCCACAGTCAAACAAGAGATTAGCTACAAAATGGACAGCTACAAATATTAGTTTTAACATTGATTCTACCAATCAAGTCCCAGGCCCTAATACTTGGGAAGTAGGGAAAGAGCACTGCGGTGAACCAACATGAACAGACAGCTGAGATCATCTCCCTTTGGAAAAGTTGACCACAGTACTATATTCAACTCAGATTACACCAAGCCCACTGCCATTGAGTCATTTCTGACTCATAGCAACCCGGTATAGGGTTTCTGGGGCTGTAAATCTTTACAGGAACAGAAGACCTCATCTTTCTACTAAGGAGCAGCTAGTGAGTTCCAGCTGCTAACTTTTCCAGTGTTTGCTCCAGTACTTATCCTATAGTGCTACCAGGGCTCCTAAACTCAGATTACTTAGTTCCAAATAATCAGAATGTCATCAAATACAATGACCACCAGCCATCAGTAGCACAGTTGTAAACTGGTCCCCTCTGCAGTATGTGGGTCATCAGCATGAAGTGCTGCTCAGGCACCAAAGCACATGCTAATTAGTAATCAGCTAGGACCCCAATTTTCTGTCATACTGAGAATAAGATAAACAGAGTCCATGTGAGAATTAAACAAGAGATAATGGTTTGTTATTTTCTAAACTTCTTGTAACTGTCCATGGTTAATGTTCATATATATATATTTTTTGATGTTTTGTCTCTTAAACTGGGAGAAACCAAGTTTTACCACTATTGTTTATATTCAATTTCTTTATTTTTTAGAAAAAGTCACAATTTAAATTAAGATAAGGGAGTTGGTTATAACTTGGATATTCGCCTCAGTAGTGAAGAAGGCAAAAACCTAATATGATGGGGGTTATTCATTCCGTTGCTGCTTCTTTAACTAACTAGAGTTTTGCTTTATATAAGCCTCTTTAAAGGCATTTTTAATACACAATTTACAAAATGCATAAACCTTACATTTTATTAGCTGATGACCAAAAATTTCAGGTCATTAATTCTAAATTGCCAAGTTAGATACCTCTGAAAAGAGAATGATTTATATATTTTGATAGAGGATTATTTTTTTACATGTTTTCTTTTGCACGTTTAACCTCTCTGCTTCGTAACGTTCATGGGCAGCTCCCAATGCCTTTCAATGCCATTTTTCCATGAACTTTTTGAAGTCCCCTCATACATTAACTGAATAATAACTTCTGCCTTGCCCTAAAAGCTATCATTAAAGAAATTATCTAAATACTAGGAATAAAATTATATTTTAAAATTTACTGTATTTCAACTTTCCTTCACATCACGTACATTGTCAGGTCTATTGCAAATTATCTTTGCATAACAAGTATTGTTGTCTCTTTCAGCTACTGTCCACTCAAGAGGCCAGAACAAAGTATGATATACCTGGAAGACAAGAACAGAGAGAGAAAAGGGCTGAGATTAATGCATATTAAAATCACTCCTTGATATGTTCTCTAATGATATAAAGACAATGTTCTCTATAACAGCTTCTGGAACTATAAAGTTTCAGGATCCAAACTGTATCTGGTGGGGGCCATCTGCGCTGCCACAAAAATAAATATGTTGACCTTTGCTTTGCTCTGTTGTCAGCTCAAAAAAAAAAAAAAAAAAAATCTCATATTAACTAAACTCAATTTGCAAACATCTACTGACAACTGAAGACAATGCATTATGCCTTATATGAGTTGAAAAGGTGAATAAATACTTTGACCCTGCCTTCAACAAGTTTGCAACCTGTCTACAATGCTCAAATTCCAATTAACTCCAGGAAAAAGTAGAGTAAAATTTTCCCAACCATCCAAAAGTATTAAGAACATTTCCCATGCTACTTGTCAGTAAAGCTCACGTGATCCTGTTTTTATGTCCCCAGCCTGAAAGTGCCCAGAGTGCTACTAACTCTTTTCAACTGGTTCTCATCTATGTAAAATAACCACAGCAAAGTGCAATGGGTTGCTCAGTCCTGCTCAGGGTGACTACATATTCACAGTGCTGGTCCTGAGAGAAGTCCTGAACTATACCAATATTAGTTGATAGCATAAGAAATGCACGGTGAACTACAAACCTGTGGAAAATTTAAATACTGATTCTTCACTCTTTAATAGGATTGTATATTTAATATTTTGAATGGCTTTATCATTTTTACAAAATGATACATGCTCATTATATAAATAATGCAGTGCAGAAAAATCACAAGGAAGAAAGTTAAAAAAAAAATTCCACCTTCCAGAAATGACCCTTGCAAATACTAGGTAAACACATATAGTTAAAACACAGTTTGTATTAAAAACGTACCATAACACAGTTAACAAAAACATTAGATTCAACTTGTAACTTATAGATAAGAAACAAGTAAATAAAAGTGAGCTGAAATCACCATAAATATCTTCCACACATTTTTAATACAAACTTTTCAATTCCAAGGACTATTGGGAACAGAAGATAAATGTTTCCTTACCTCCATATATTATTTCCTTTAATTTCCTAATACCTCTAAGGTTAAGACAAGAGATTGAAAACTCTTTAAGGTTTAGGGCAAAATTTTTTTAAAACTAAATTTCTACAAGGAGGCTTCAAAGAGTTCGTGGAAATACTCTGTACCTTTTTCACTTGATCTGGAGGCCAGGAGGCAACAAAACATCCAATTAGCTTTCAATTCCATTTTTCAATGAACTTTTTACGTCCCTCAAATTTTTTTACCAGTTCTGTCATCTCCTTGCTATGGAGACAAGGATATGAACACTCACACTTAACAGCCACCTTCTTTTTACTCTGTCCTTGGTCCTGTAGGTGGAATCTGGGGTATGGGTTGGAGGATAAGCACTGGACCTCAGGGTCGGTTTGAAATGCAAGGTCAGTCGTTCAAACTCACCAGCCGCCTTGGAAACCCTATACACGGTTGCTATGAGTGGGAACAGACTCAAAGACACTTAACTTAACAACAAAAGCAGCCCTGTGGATAAGTGCCCAGAGGCTACCTCATTCTGCAAGTCAACTTCCTGCCTGAAGGCACTCAGCTCAGAAGCCCACCACTCTACTGTCTCTCCTTGCCACTGCCCCTGAGGTCACCTCTGTGCGCTTAGTTTTTGTCTCTCAGCACTTTTACCATGTTATTTTTTGGTCTTTGATCCTCCTTGATTCAAAGCTCATGTGAACTATGTTCCAGCTTTCTTCTTGAATGGCTACCCACTTATTCTAACATCCTTTCTATTGATTTGAACTACTACCTTTATCACATATTGTTGTTGTTGTTAAGTGCTGTCAAGTCGGTTCCAAGTCACAGCAACCCCATATAGGGTTTCTTGAATTTGAATCACGGGCCTTGCAGTTCAAATTAATCTTGTAGTTAGCACATTAACCCACAGCACCACACCAGGGTAAGGACTTTTATGCATTTCAATCAATCTGTGGATTTCATATTCTGCTCTACTGATCCAGTAACCAAAAGCAGCTCCAGGGAGAAACGCCTGGTAAGCATTACAATCTTGGAAACCTTATGGGTCAGCAGTCTTATATAGGGCTACATTAAGTTAGAACCAACTCAACAGCACACAACAACAGGGACCACCACACTTTAATGATTGCAGCTATATGATAAAGTTTGCAAAAACTCTGGCAGTGGTTAAGTGTTTGGTTGCTAACCAAAAGTCCAACCCATCACCAGCTCTGTGGGAGTAAGACCTGACAGTCTGCTTCTGTAAAGAGTGTTGTTGTTGTTGTGAAGTGCCTTCGAGTCGCTTCTGACCCATAGCAATCCTGTATAGGGTTTCCGAGGAGCAACTGGTGAGCTTGAACTGGCAACCTTGCAGTTCAAAAGGCTTTGCAGTCTGGTGCATTAGCCCACAGCACCACACCAGGACTCCTCTGTAAAGAGTACAGTCCTAGAAACTCTGTGGGCAGTTCTTCTCTAGTCCACAGGGCTGCTATGAGCCAGAATCAACTCACCAGCAATGGCATCTTTATGATACATTTTAATATCTAATATCACCTCTCATTACTCTACTTAATTAGAATCTTCCTATTATTGGATATCCCTTTTAATTTTCAATCAAATTAAAAACACAAAAATTACAAATATAATTCTCTAAAATGTTATATAAAACAGGAATGTGTATCTCTCCCATCTCCCACTCACACCCATTGTAATCTACCCAAAGTAACCACTTTCATCTCTTTAGGTAGCTGTTTTGATTTTTACCTCCATATTTCTAAATACCATACTTATACTGGTGTTGTGATCACTTTCTATCCGTCCTGTTGGTGAGATAAAGATTCCCACCCTAGAGTAATGGGGATGACCAAACACATAGGACACCTGGTATTGGACAGATGAGACACATACACTTCCAGGGAAGGGAAAGAAGACACCACGCACCATGCAGAACCACACAGGAGTCACACTTGGGAGAGGAATAAACCAGCAGGAACTGTGGGTGGCAGGCTTTGTAGTAACAAGAGGTGTGGTGACCCTGGCGTTTGCAGGAGGATGCAATTGACTAATCCGAATACTTCTAGATGCTAGCATGGATGTGACACTTCTTAAGTCGAGTTCCAGGAGCACAACTGGTAAGGGAACTGGCAGGGTAGGGAGCTATTCCTACTATAGGAGTACAGTGCAGTGAATCCTTGAATATGGCCCTTTTAGCCATGCATGAGTGTGGCACTGTGGCTTACAGCACTGGACCTCTAGGCCGGTTTCAACTACAAGGTCAGCAGTTCAAACTTACCAGTCGTTCTTTTGAAACCCTACACAGGGTTGCTATGAGTAGGAAGCAACTCGATGGTCATCAACAACAAAGCCATGTGTGCCCTTGTGACTCACACAAAGTGACTGACTTTGGGGACTTATGCAAATAAAGTGCCTGTGGCCCACCAAAAGAACTGAAGAGCTTGCTAACAATGCAAGTAAGGTGCATGGAATTCCAGCGAGAGCAGGATCATGTAAATAAGGCATATGGAACCTCAATGAGAGAATGGATCAGTTTTGTGTGTGGCCACTGCAACAGATTATAGGACCCAGCAGGGAAGAGGGGTGCCATGGGAAAGACAGTTGGTGTCAGAATTGGTAAGAAGGTTGGAAAGAGAAGGTATGTCAGACCTCCACATTGTAGGAATCACCATTAAGCTGATGTTGATTTTGATCCTCTCACCTCTCCTTGTGAGGTAGATGAGGTCAGATGCCACCACGCCACTTTTACAGGGAGGGAGAGAAGAATATCTGACAAGAGCAGGAGAACTCACAGTAAGACCTGCGAGGCTCAACGATGTAAACACGGTATTTGAAAACTTGCAGGACTTACAATTGTTACTAATTGCATTTTTCTGTTTTAAGCTATATTTACTGAGTTATCTCTAAGCAAGTCTAGCTGCCCCTACAATACACTCGGCATCCTTCCTGCCCACTCATCCTCCTATCAAAGAAAAGTTCAGGACCAGACAACTTCACTGGGGAATTCTATCGAAAATTCTGAGAACAACTAACAGCAATCCTGTTCAAACAAACCTTCCAAAATGCAGAGAAGAAGGAATACTTCATAACTCTTTCCACAAAACTAGCAACACTCTGGTAGCCAGACAGACACCACACACACACACAAAAAACTACAGACCAGTATAACTCATGAATTTGTTGTTGTTGTTGTTGTTAAGTACCATGGAGTTGGTTCCAACTCATAGTGACCCTGCACATGGTTTCCGAGGCTGTAAATCTTTATGGGAGCAGAACACCTCATCCTTCTCCTATGGAACAGCTGGTTGTTTTGAACTGCCGACCTTGAGATTAGCAGCCCGATTCGTAACCACTACACTACCAGAGCTCTTTATAACTTATGAATACAGATGTCAATATTCTCAACAAAATACTAGCAAACAGAATCCAACAGCATACTAAAAGAATTATACTTCATGATCAACTGAGATTTATGCTAGCAATGTAAGGTTGGTTCAACATTAGAAAAATCTGTTGATGATTGCATCACATTAATAGGACAAAGTAAAAGAACCACATGAAGAGGCAATTGATATACCCAACATCCTTTCTTGATTAAAAAAAAACAACAACCCTCTTAACAAGATAGAATAAAAGGAAAGTTTCTCAACATGATTAAGGGTTCTAATGAAAATAACAACATACAACATTATATATCCTTGGAAACCCAATATGGCAGTTCTACTATGTCCTAAAGGGTTGCTATGAGTCAGAATCAACTCCATAGCAATGGGTTTGGTTTTGGCTATTTTGAAATCTGGATAAGCTAAAAAACTCCCAAATCACCACAGCACTGGTTCCATTTTTAACTAAAGGTCTTGCCTTATTTTGTTTCTTTTCTCTAGCATTATAAGCAGCCCACCCCCCTCACCCCTCCAATTTTTTTTTTGCCAATGTT